AAATTCGCCATCAACACCACCTTGTATAAATTCGCCTTTGTCTGATTATGGCAACGTAACGTAACTTATGGCTCTCTTAAAAATTCTGTTAAATGGGTGTTGCTTATAATTGAACAGCCGAAACTTAACGTAACTTAATGCCACGTCGAAATCTGGTTCATTTTGATTCTCTAAGTTCTACGTTCAGTTAAATTGAGTTAAGTTACCATAATCAGGCATAATCATTTTGACAAAATACGCAGTTTCAAGGCGAATTTATGTTGTCCAATCAGCTGATTTCTTCTTCTTTCCTTCGCCTCACATGTATTTTGTTTTTGCTTTTACTGATTTGACAGCATTCCCCTGAATAGCAACAACAAAATACATGTAAACTTTGAGGCGAATTGAGATTTGACATTTTGCCCCTGATACAAAATACATGTGGTTGTTGTTTGTTGTATTCTTGCTACCACCTTGTATAAATTCGCCTTGCGCAGTTTTATCCTCTTGAGTAGACATGGGCACTTTCTTGCCCGCGAACAGGGTTGCGTGATTTCAAATCCTTTTTGATTTAAAATCCGCCTTTAATTAACAAATATATTTGATTTGTGAATTGGTTTGTTGACCAAATAAAAAATAAAATTTATTTGTAATTTGATTTGTCAACCAAATAAGAAATACAATTTAGTTGTGATTTGCTTGGTCAAGCAAATAAAAGATAAGTTTTATTTGTGATTTGCTTGGTCAAGTAAATAAAAGATAAGTTTTATTTGTGATTTGCTTGGCAAATAAGAAATAAAATATATTTGTGATTTGCTTGGTCACCGAAATAAGAAATCAAATTGATTTGTGATTTGATTTGTAGAGCGAATCAATTGGATTCGTGATTTTTTAGCTAAATATAACTTTTTTATGCAGCACAAATGCGATATTCAAGTATCTTCCAACTTCGAGTTCCACGAAAATCTTCGGAATTTCGGAATTGCTTCGAGATTTTTGGGGTTCTCGTGACTACTTGGGGATTTTTGTGACTAATTCGGAGTTTTTGGAACTCCTTCGGGTTTTTCGAGACTTCTTCAGGTTTTTCAGGATTTTGGGACTAATTCGGTAGTGTTGAGTTCGAGTTTTTCGAGCCTGCTTCGAGAATTTCGGGGTTCTCGGGATCTTAGAAACTACTTCGGGATTTTTGGAACCAATTTGGAATTTTTGGGGTTTTTCGAAACTATTTCGAGATTTTCGGGATTCTCAAGAATATATCGGGATCTTCGGGATTATTTCGGGATCGTTGGACTATTTCGAGATTTGTTCGGGATT